TTTCTGTTTTCAATTCCATTACTTCAGCTTCTAATTTTCCAACTGAATTTCAATTATCGTACTGCAAGCTCTAAATACTTTTTGATTAATTCTCATTAATTGATGAATTAGTGCCAAGTAAATTTTGAATAAAAACAGATGAGTAACAAAAGTTTTAGTTATAAAATAATATCTCTATGAAGAGTATTTTTACCGTTCGCGTAAGAGTTAAGCAGAATCTTAACTGGCGACAGATAGGAATAAATCGTTCAAATTCTAGTAGTAGAAAAATAGTTAACGAATGAAATAAATTCTGAAATCTAATTTTCCAAATAATTCGAGTTCAGAGCAAAAGAGCTGTACAGCTTTGAATATGTTTTAATGTATTTGTTTTGTATTGAATAGCTCGAGAAAACTGTGTCACGAAGCTAATCGAAGGCGAATCTTTAGAATTACGACAGTATAACTTCAAAACTATTTAACAATTGAAAAGCAACGAAAAAGAATTAGTATTTCTTTATATTAACCAATAAGAAAATAGATTATCGGCATGGCTAAACCTAGTAACTCAGGTGAATGCATCTGAATCAATTCAAGCAAGACAACACCAGTAATCGATAGAACGTGGAAGCCGTATTCTGAGTGAAAATGCTTTCGGATTTTTTTGACAACTTCTAGACTATTTCTTGTTCTTGCTGATGTGAAACGATTAGAAATCATTGAAAACATTCCGATCCGAAATATCACTTTCTTATTCCGTCGATTACAGGAGTTCTGTGAATACATATGATCAGTTTCTAGAGAATCTGCTTGCTTCGGCAGGTTCGAGTCATCAACTTGAGAATGCATCGAGATAATAATTCACTAGATATGAATAATTTTAATCGTACAAATATCGTAAACGCAAATACTCATGTAATTCATATCACTAAATAATCAACACATCGTGTCTTTTCAAGTTATCCAGATTCTAAAATACCAGGACGCTAATTCGCGTCGCCCATACTCAATGGGTAAAATATTATCAAAGAAAATGCTAAAAACTAATCAACCAAAACATAATCATATTATTATAACTATTTCGTCATTATAAAATCTATTGACTTCAAAGTTTATAGTATCTAATTACTAAATTAATAAAATAATTCATAAGTGTCAAAAAATTTTCTTTTGTTATAAGCAAAAAATTATGGTACAACACGTATATATAAATCAACAGAGAAATCCTTTCTCTACAGACCTATTTATCTATATTCAGTTATGTAGTCAAAATCTTAACAGCTGTTTTTTCTGAAGCAAACCTTAGCTGGTGATATCAATAAGTTACAAGTTTCTCACAACAATTGTTAATAGTAATATCCTCGTATTGTGTCACTCATAGACTCACAACTAATGCTTTCTACTCATCGAATTCGTTTTATCTTTTATTAATTCAATTTATTAATTTAGATATTAGATTTTTCAATTTTGTATTAATTATAAGCTTTAACAAAAAAGAATATATTACTGACAAAAACATATAATATTAATTAAGCATTCGATACTTTTTTTTAAACAATTGAAATTATTTCCACAACTACCACGAACTTTACTTATCAGAAACTCAAATTATTATCTTACTTGTTTTATCTAGCAAAACAAAAGTATTTTTTATAATAATTATTGCATCCATGATTGTTTTCATGAAGGACAGTTGTAAAAACTGTCCTTCATCCGTAATTAATATTGATTTTTAATTATAGAAGATGTTTTACAAATCAATATCAAAGTAACTCTCGTTATCTTTTAAATTAAAGCAAAGGTAAGCGTGATTGTTCACAGTTTTTACAGATACACTTTCATGAATAATAATAAAAAATATTTAAAGAAGATCAAGTCGAATTCTTTAATTCATATTCGAATTGGAGTTTACTTCTTCTAATAATATTAAAAATGTACAAAAGATGAATAACTAACACGAAAATATTATTATTATAATTTGACTTTGTTAAAACAGAGAACTAAAATATTGATAAAACTCAAAAAAAACAAGAATAATAAAATATTTAAAATGAACTTAGAAAATACAACCTTTTTCTATATTATTTCATATTAGACAACGGCAGACAAAATTCAAACTAAACTTTTAAATTAACAAAAGCAACTTAACTTACATAAGGAATTTCTGAGAAATAGAGATATGTTGTAAAAGTATCTAATGAAAAAAAAATGGTGACAACAAACATCAAACTAATTTTTTATGTTAATCATTATTTTACTAAATTCATTTCATGAAAATAGTGTGAAAGTATAATCACATTCTGTTGCAAAGTAAACAAATCGTAAAAGAATAATTGCAAAATAACAATTTTTTCTTCAAATAAAAGTTTTCTTTTCGTATTGCGCACTAAAAATTTCACTTAACTGGTGACAAAGCATACTTTGAATAAACGAATGACATGATTATCATAATATTATGATGATAAAAAAGTCACAAAAAAATATTACAACAGTTTATGAACAACGAAAGTATACAAATTAAACATTTGAATACGTTTTCTTAGTATATTCAATCAATGTCCTGAGTTTTTTTTTCAACATTAACATCATGCATCAGCATTGAAAGAAAATTTTTTGTGTCCTTCAAGTTGAGAAACAAACTCAAGTAGAGAACGTAGAAGTGCAAAAAAAACAATCATTCTTTCTCAATACTTTTTTGACTCGTTGGTTACAAACAAAATATGCGATTTGTGATAACTTTGTTATTAAATGTCTTTTTCTTATATGTGAAAGGTCTGCTGATTTCTTTCTTCTCATTTTATTATTTCATAATATGAACCATATTTAGGTCAAACTACACAAGTACCTAATTATTATTGTAATGAAAATAGTAAAACTGTCGAATTTACATTGTCTTCGTCGTCTCATTCTGCATCGCAACCATTATTAAATTGTTCCTTAGATCAATGTCATATAAATTCGAATATTAATAATAGCTGTCGTTCATCATTAACACCTTGCTTCAACTATCGTACAATAAACAATAGTGACTATTGTGCACCTGCTATTTTATGTTCAATTTTGGAACCATGTAATAATATTACTTATAGTTGTGCATCCAATACTTCAATATGCATCATTAATTCATGTTGTTCACAACAAGAAGTTTGCTTGCCATTGTCGTCGGCAAAGTTCTGTCAAATAGGTAATGATATATTTTACTTAAATTTATTTGTACAATGGAAGCCACTAAAGTATTTCGTCTTGGTTCTAGTTGTTGAGACTTGATTCATAGTTTTAAAGTTCGCAAATGAGTAACTGTTTTTTTTTCATACAATAAAAATATTATAATGCATAGAAAACCAAAAGAGAGCTCGAGGAATCAAGTTAAAGACGACAATTGAAAGAAAATGAGATAGAGAACCTAAACAGTTTGAAGATTTTTCGAGATAATCAGAAAATCATGTGATAATTCAATATCATAAATGGGTTAGTTAGAAGCTAGTTGATTCTGTGATAGTTTTAAATATTGTTTTCTTGTGAAGAAGAGCTTTTCAATACAGTTTCTAATAAAATCAGTTTATGTATGACAATAGTAAGATCTTGAAAATATTTTTCTATACTCTTTGATCTTTTAATCTACAGAAATATTGTTATTCAAAATGTTAAATGAAATAAACGCTCTTGACACGAACGAATACACTAAATTCCATGCAATCATATTTCTGTTTTCGAAAAGTATATTTAGGTGCAATCTATATAACTTTGAAGAAAATTAACTTGTGATATAGATGAAATAATTACTTTTCTACTACAGTAACTATTGCAAATGATTTTGTTGGACTGAATGGTTCGAGCCAATTCAGATCGGTCAGATTTTCACACATACCAGTCTAGCTCAAGAGAAAATTGTGTTGGATCGTGTCGGACCATCAGAATAAACATTTCATTTCCAATTACTCTGAGTCTTTCGTCCATTAAATATGAGATGTATTAAAATAAACCATTTAAAGAAAATTTTCTATTGCTATTAATTTAGTCTATGATGTCATTTATTGATGTTGAGTGTTGTGAAATATTTGAGTCATTCAGAATGAAATCTAAAAGAGAATATCTATAGACTTTTCTCAGTTTCAGAAATAAACTCACATTAATACTTGCTAATCCATAATTTGTTATTACATCTTGATTGATGGCATTATCATATCAGCTGTCAGACATAAACCAGTTATCAGTTTGATAGCTGAATAAAGATTGTCTTCCAATTGACTCATTTCCTGAACTTTAGTTTTCTATGATAGTTAATCGTAGGAAATCTGTTGGATGCATAGTGACTTTATTTAGCTGCATTTTGTTGAAGGAAAAATGTCGCAGTCAGGAGTATCCAAGGCCTGAGAAAAAGTAACACCTAAACTGTTGGAGAGCTATTAATGACATCGTGTCATCCCTTCAGAAGATCGAGAGATGACCACGTATGCTATCATAATTTCACGACTGGCAATAGCTAAAACGATGTGTTTTCGACAAAAGGTTTCGCACACATTTATTCATCTTTACAGAACGCTCTATTAATCTTGACATGGGCTCGAAAAAGTATCGTGAATCATTCGTTATTTCACAGTTGTTGAACTGTAAGAAAGTTCAGAAGCAATTCTTATTTCTCAATGCACTGAGCATTTCGTGATTATCGTTGATAGAAGTTGCAGATAATCGAAAAATGCATTGATCTATTAAATTAATATGATGAGAGACTAACAACACAAAAATTCTTCCGTAGTCCACCTAAAAAGTTTATTAGCGAAAATAAAAAGTCTATTCTATCCGTGCTACATCACAAAGAATTTCTTACCATAAATTTGAAAATTTTTCTCTATCTATGAAGAATTAGGAGGTTTTATACTAGAAAAAAGTAACAATTTTAATTTTATAGTGTATAGAAATACTTTCCTTATGAACAAGCAACCGTGAATGTTTGATGACATATCATTTTTCAATCTTAACACATTCAAATGTTCCTTCTAGGTTGGTCTTACACTAGCAGTATGAATCGTACTCGTGTTTGGCATACAGCATCCGTATTAACGAATGGAAAAGTGTTAGTTGCTGGTGGATCGGGTAATAGCTCTGCAAATAGTGCTTTGTTATATAATCCATCAACAGCAACTTGGGCATCTACTGGAAATATGAGTAATGGACGATATTATCACACAGCATCTGTATTAACAAATGGGAAAGTATTGGTTGCTGGTGGAGTATATAGTAGTTATCCAAATAGTTCTGAGTTGTATGATTCATCAACAGAAACTTGGACAACTACGGGGAACATGAATAATGCACGAGTGCAACATACAGCATCTGTATTAACAAATGGAAAAGTATTAGTAACTGGTGGATCATTTAGTGGTTCTCAAAGTAGTACTGAGTTATACGATCCATCGACTGGAATTTGGACAATTACTGGTAACATGAATTATGGACGACAGTTTCATACAGCATCTTTATTAACAAATGGACAAGTATTAGTTACTGGTGGAAGTAATGGTAGTATTTATTTAAATACTGCTGAGTTATATGATCCATCAACTGGAATTTGGACAATTACTGGTAGCATGAACAATTCACGAGGATATCATACGGCATCTGTATTAGACGATGAAAAAGTATTAGTTACTGGTGGACATAGTGCCAGTGGTTCTCAGAATAGTGCTGAATTATATGATCCATCAACTGGAACTTGGACAACTACTGGTAGTATGAATAGTCCACGACGGTATCACACAGCATCTGTATTAATTAATGGAAAAGTTTTAGTTACTGGTGGATATAGTAGTAGCACTGGTGATCTAAATATTACTGAGTTATATGATCCATCGACTGGAACTTGGACATTTACTAGCAGCATGAATAATGGACGAGAGTATCACACAGCATCTGTATTAACAAATGGATACGTGTTAGTTACTGGTGGGCTAAATGGTGGCATTACTCTGAATAGTGCAGAATTATATTAATTATTTGGAACAAATTGACAGTCAATAATATTATGCTTATTTATACCAACAGACTAGTGTTCATAAACCACTTAGATAAAAAAGACAATCGAGTGTGAGTGTCTGAGTAAAAGAATGATTGTAAACAGCGAGAGTCGTCTTCGGCCTTGCTTATAGATTCCGTCAAGCGTTTGAAGTTTATTTTGTGTCTATTTTATTTATAGTTGAATATTTAACGTACGGAAAAGCCTGGAACATATACAAAATTATGTAAAAGCAGAGTTACTTTTTTTTGTGATTATTGAAGTAATGTTTACCTTTGTATATCATAGCATAATCTAAAGTATTACGGTCTACAGATTTGCTTCTATTCGTTTAGGGGGTGGACCGCCAAGGTAGGCATGGATTCCATTATTTCTACTTGGCACTTGCTCCGAAACTTATGCTGACTTTTTAATCAATTGAGTTGAATAGAGAATTAAATCTTGTATAAAATGGTGATACTATCAGTAGAGATGGTGCTGCTTCAGATGATTATGGAATCATAAGATGTATATTCTGCAGAGACGATTTTATAAGCAAACATATCACTTGATGCATTACTTTTAGTATTTGTTCGCGTGATATGTGTTCAGAGTTTGATGTTAAACAGAAAATGGTATATTTAATTCCAGAGAGCGCTATTTCCAAAAAAAATATACTGCATTTGCAGATGAATTATAATGTCTATGTCCTTTAGTGTATTCTTCTGACAATCTTTGCAATATACTTGAACAACGAAATGCATTACATTGAAACTACTTGATAAATCATTTGTACAAGTATACTTGAGATAGGATTGTATTAGCAGTCGAGTAATACATAGCAGTATTGAATTGTATCATCAACAATCTATTGACAATAAATGAGAAAACATTATTAGATAACATTAGATTTGAAGCGTGTGTGTGCGTACAAGTCAAGAGAAGATTTGCACTCATATCTTTATCCAATAAATTCAAGCAATGAATTTGAGAACATGCTATGCACTCTGTCGTTAATGAGTTCAATGCCGATCAGGTTCTAAAAGATGCGTTGTCTTGATGATATAACCTACTTTCGGTGTGGTGAACGCCGAATAAAAACATGAGAACCGAGATATAGGCGTGCTTATAAGATATAAAAAAGGTATCACCAATTCACTGCAGTGTGTAGTTTTATGACTCGAGTATGGCTCAATGCATTGGTACGAATAGATATCAATCGATCGTTGCTCATATTTTATGTGTTGTAGATTGTGGCATTGTCGTAATATTAGCAAAATTATGTCATCGTCCCATAGATGTGTTAAAAGTCAAAAAATGCTTTGACGTATTTTAATAGATTCACCTATTCACTGTCCCTCAATAGGAACGCAAGTTAGTAATTCCGATAGAGAAAAATCTATCGAACGATTCATTTCGAGTATGTTTACGTATCGAACCTCATTCTCCGTTTTGAAGCACGTTAAAATGAAATTGAAAGTGAGCAAGAAGTAATATCAGCATTCATCTTCCTGCACAAAGTACAACCTTCAGAACTGCAAGATAACAAGCAGGAACTCGTCAATGAGCCTTGCTAATTGGAAGCAAAAACACAAGATGTGATGGCAATACTCTCAAGTATAAATGAACTCTGGACAATGTTCCTTTTGTTTTTATAAAGAACAAATAAATAATAAATGACAAGAAAATAGAAAATGATCCAGATCTGACAAGGGAAACGCTTTTCCAGCAGTCACGAAAGAGAACATAAAAATCTACGATATTTCGTGACATTGATTGCCTCAATGAATATTGTATTTTTCAATACATTTCCTATCATATAGTTATTGTACATCTAAAAAGATCAGGAAAATTCAGTTGCAAATAAAATAGTCTTCTCCGTGACACATCAACCCATACCGTCGACCATCTTGATCCCGTCAAACCGCTAGCATTACATCTGATCCTTTGGCGTATACCAAGAGGTTTCTAGGTTAATGATCGTTCATATTCATAGAATTTGAATTTACGTCAGTAGGATTCATTATTGGTAGTATTCGGATAGTAAACATCGTTATCAAGTAGCTGACTTTTCTTTGTCAAAACATCAGCTTGCATTAATTGAATGAATGCTAAACAGAATATTTTATAAAGGCGTGTAGTAGTACAATCCGTTGTGATTCCTAAGCAATAAGCGATTTACATTTCAGTAAACGAAAAACAGGATCTCTTCTGTGGAACGTTAAACAACAAGTGAACCGAACTGTAATGAACGAAATGATTATCATCATTCACTTGATGTGAATAAAGAGTGACCGTCAAAGATCAATTCAAATTCGTGCTGAAATAAGTACACGGTGTTTATCAAGCTCCATTTCAATAGATAGGATTAATAATAAGAGAGATTTTCCCTGAGAAAGATTGTTAGGAACAACATAATGGACGTTTTCGGTTCTTAGTTGATAGCTTCTCTTAATAGATTGTGGCAATACTATGCCCATTAAAGTTCCTAACGATGTTAGTGAATAACATAAGCTGAAGAACAAAACGAAATATGAACCAGAAAAAAAAAGACAACAGAAATTTCATTTTAAAAAACGGACGAAATTTTTCAAGATTCTTAGTGAAATTCATCCGTATCCATTGTTCTCCTGGAATTCTAAACTCACTTCTGAATTAAGTTCAATGCTACTTATATTTTCTTCTTATCCCTTTAATTAAAATGCAATTCATGGCGAAAACTGCTTCAGGTTAGGTTTATTGACTAATACAAAAAAAAAAGAAAAAAAAAACAGCGAGATTAATAAATTGTGATTCTAAGAAAGGTATGAAAAGTCATTCAGTTAAACATAATTGATTTTTAACTAAATGTTTGCTTGATAACAGTGCCATATTCTTTACCCTTCATCTTCATATAGGCGATCTTTTCCTGGTAGACTCGATCAGTGTTCATTTTAGCTAAATTTTCCAATACTCTTCGTTGGCATGTCGGTAATATGTTATTCTTATCTGCTTCACACACAATCGACATAACATCATCTGCTGAGCAAACATCGCTGATTGTTTGTCCTAATGTTTTGCCAAAGACTAACTTGGATTTGTCAATGCTTAAAAATTTGATGACATCTGGCTCTTGAGACATCTTCATCATCATTCCAATCGCTGGACAAGCTCCAACGTTGGCACGATAATTAGGTGAATCTTTCTTCCCGAAACATTGTTCCATTAAACCATCTCTGTCGGCAGATAAAGAGAATGATAAAATTTGCGATCGAATTGTTGGGCAACATTGAGCGATCATTTGACAACTGGCCTTAACCAAACCACGTACTGCTGGTGGAAAACTTCCGCGTACTTCACGAGAGAATTTTGCAAGTTCAGCAGTATCTGCATCGATAATTGCTGATGGGACCATAGCATCAAGAATTCCAATGCCCATAAAGAAGATAATTAGAGTAAATATGTGCGACATAATCGATGTTGGATTGTATTGTATTGTATTGAAATGAATTGATACAATAAATGTGAATGAATGTGCATATTGAACACTGTTATTTATATTCACCGTTTAACAAAGAAACGGTTGACCGATCGATCTGATATCTGTGACAGACGTATATAGTATGCATTATCGAGAAAAGTAAGAAATAATGCAGAGCGAAAAAGATGACCGATATTGTATATTCTTTGTAATAGACGTGAAGACGATTCCTCGCTTTCATTTTCTTTCTTTGTTGCCTACATCACGATAATCAAAATATGATCGACACGATCGTGTGCATCGATGAGACGAGATGACGAAACAACTGACAGAGAACATACAGTTCATAGTGACTCTGGTTTGTTTGCACGTGCAAAGAGAGGTAATGCACGTGCGGCTTTATAATGAAATACGATCGAATAGAAATAATAAGGCAAGCATAATATTGATTTTTCTTATTCAAATAATTAATAGATAGTTTCTATTTTCTTAAGATCTTTCGATAATGAGTACGAAACTGAAGAATAAATGGAACTCTGATATTTTTGTATCATCTTTGAAGAAAGCTGAAATAGAAACGACAATTTTTAGATAATGTAAATAAAAAATTGACTCAATATTTGTTATTTAATATTTTCTTTTCTCAATATAAATTTAGGCTTGTTTTCTCAGCATCCATACTATTCATCAGGGTTTGTGTTTTGAAATAGCACATCTAGGAAGCTCAAGTAAAATATACAGAATATCTGTTTCATCTGATGTACACTTAACTAAAGAAATCTATACTTCGATTCTAGATCCTCTAAAGTGATATGTAGTATTAAATTTAAGCTTTCGTTTAATTGATAGTACTACTATCTACCAAACAGAATCTACATTGTATGTTTGTTTTATGAACTGGTGTGTATTTGTGTGCATTGTTTTAAAACGCGTTAAGTAATAAAATTAGTACGTCTATGTGCCGCTTCTTCGTTTGTTAATGGTCAGTTTAAAGTTCTCTTTAAAGAAAAAATCTAAACGTAATTTTTTGTTTTCGTAGGTCGTAAAAAAATTGGCTTTTCTAAACTTTCATGACGAGATAGATTGTGAGAGTTGATGGTAGTTTTTCCTTCACCCGCTCTACATAAAAGTATTGATACGCGTTTTCATCTACATATATACTGACTATATGAATAGCTTGATTTCGACACATTGAATTTTCTCTTGAATTATGATCACAATGTTATTTTGAATATGCAAGCTAACGTATAGGATTCAAACTAATGATGACTAGAGAAAAATCCAATATGATTTACGAGCAGTGTTAATGCGCTCGTGAAATATTTCACGACCCGCATGACTTTTAAGGATCTACCTCTTAGAGATTCTTTACTCCTTTGAATTCACTAATACTTTATCTATTCTGCACATTTATGAGTTCGACAACTCGGTTGTTCACGAAAAATAAGAATTAATTCTACTATCTAAATTGTAACAGCAAATATTGAAGTGATTGTGATTCAATGATTTTCCTATAAACTTTTAGAACACAAGAGTCCTGAGAATATGACATTTGACGTAAGTCTTACAAGACCATAAAAGTTATCACTGCCAATGAAAAATGTTGGACCCGGTCTCATCAAGACTAAAGATTGAGATCATCTTGTCTATATCTAGTTCAAACATTACATCATGGTCTACTCTTCTATGTAATTAGAACACTTTCATTATGTACATATGTTAAATCAAGTAAGAGTCACCTTATTGAACAAAGTCAGATGTTCATCGATTGGTTCATTTCACTCAGAAAATGTTAAACTAGAGCAGATTGCTTGATTGACCAAAGATTGAAGAAAAGAATTAATAAAACATCGAATCGTATGAATAGTTCCTTTTGTCTAGCATGTTATCATTAACTGAATCGAGACTTTATTCTATTTATAAAGAAGATTTAAATTAAAAACAAAAGAACGGCAAATATTCAATAGACAATTTAGATCACACATTTTGGAACATGAATTATAAAGCATATTAAGTGGCAATCACTTTACAAATGGATAAATCATATGATGGTAAAACCGATTTATTACTGTTATGTTTAATAACAAGTCTTTTTTATTCAATCTAAAAGTAGAATTCTAGAATTCAACACTTGAAAATCTGAAAATTCAGACTTTGATAAAAACAAATATACAGAGCAACTCTTTCGCTAATGATACCATCAAAACTTACACATGGGGATAACAGCGAAATATTTGAAATGATCTTCAATAATTGAGTTCAATTTTCATATTTAACACTGCCAGTTCCTATAAAATCAATACAAAAAATTCATCATGAAAGTTTATGAGATCATTTAGTTAGTGATTGATTTCTTATCTATCCAGTCTCAAAATGTTTGTTTATTTTTAGGATCTTTTGAAAGTATATCCGACGAACCGAAAGCTGTGGATTTAGGGCCCAAATTTTGTATTCTTGCTGAATCTGTTCTTAGAAATTTTATTTTAGTTATTGTTTGAGAATAATATGGTAATCCTTGAAAGACTTAAAAAATTAGCTTCGATAGAACATATGATTCAATGTTTCTAATGCAAATGTTTGCTCATTTTTAGCCGACTCGAAAGTACTTTAGACAAGTCAAAAGCTATGGATCATAATCAGAATTTTGTGCTCTCTTCAAATATGCGATTAAAATTATAGTATCTATTTTTGAAATACCTCACAAATCAAGCGGAAGAGTGAATCAACAGGTTTTTGCTAACCCGTACAAGTCACTTTTGAAGGTTGCTAAATGTTATCTGTGTCAGTCATTTTTTCAAGCAGATACTTTTTTCTTATATAAAACTAAGCAGTAGCTTTTATCCAAATGAAGTGATAGACGTTTTTCCAATAGCTTCATTCCCTATAAAACGTTTTTTTTGGCCCAAACGTCGATTTTTTAAAAATGAAGGTTTAAGAAAAACAAAAATTAAAATGTTTTGTCGAAAGACGAAAAAACTTGATCAGTACATTGTCTAGAACCGGCTCTAACCCTACAAATTGATAAATTAAAAACGCTTCGAGCTATTACTTTCCTAGTTGTCATAATGGAGTTACAAAAATGTGCAGATAAATTTTTCATTTAAACTTTTTTTGTGATCTTTCAAAAATTATCTCATTTGTCGCAAACACAAGTTGATACAAACTTTCAGAGCTCATATTCGGAAAGAGCACAAAATTCTGATTTTCACCCATGAATTCTGAGTTATTATGAGTAATGTTTTCATCAAGTAAACCAAAAGAAAAACAGTTTGTCTCAAAACCTTGAAATCTATCCGTTTATATAACTAGTTACAACGTCAAATTGGAAAACCATGAAAAGAATATAGAAAACAACCCTGCTACAAACACTTTTCTTAATTCTATAGCTAAAATGCACCTAGCGTCCTCTTCATCATATTTTCTATGATTGGCTCCAACTGACTAAGCAATGAATTGATTGACAAGTTGAACATTCGATCAATTGATCGATCGTATTTTAGTAAATTAAAATCCAAAAGGAAACCTTTCTAATCATTATGACAAATATTAATCTTATTGAAGCTGTTCGTTCTTATATCAATCGAATGATTGAAGATTGTGGTCCAACTATAAAAGGACTTGTTATGGATAAAGAAACGGTTGTTAAAAAAAAAAAATATCATTTTTGTTATTATTATTAATAACGATAAGATTGTTTTCTTTTCTTTATAATAGGCTTCTATTGTTAGTATGGTTTATGCTCAATCCGAAATTCTTCAAAAAGAAGTTTTTCTTTTTGAACGTATTGATATAGCTGGACAAAAATCGTTAAAACATTTAAGTGCCATTTGTTTTTTGCGACCAACAGAAGAAAATATTCAAGCATTAGTACGCGAATTACATGATCCAAAATATGGAAATTATTTTATTTGTAAATATACATTATTGATTTATAAAATAATTCGAAATAAATTATTTTATTTAGATTTTACTAATTTCGTTGAAATGAGTGATATAAAAAGTTTAGCTGAAGCTGATGAATTTGAATGTGTACGAATTGTACAAGAATATTATGCAGATTATTTAGCTATTAATCCACATTTATATTCACTTAATATTTCAAATACTTATCAGGTAATAATTAATTATTTATAAAAAAAATTAAGAAAAACAAAATTGCTTTATTTTTTTTCTTTCTTTAATGTTTGTTAGCAAAATTGTGAATGGAATGATAATTTTCTTCGTCGAACAGTTCAAGGTCTTGTTTCAGTATTACTTTCATTACGTAAAAAAAGTGCAACAATTCGTTATCAAAAATCATCAAATATGGCAAGAATACTTGCTGATAAACTTTCTGTAAGATAATATGACAAATATAGTTTCTAATTAGATTTTGTGTTCATATTTTTCTTCTTCAAAATAATCTAGAGTACTCTCAAACGTCAAGTTGATTTTACAGCATCAAATCCAAATGATATTAATCAAACAAATGTTTTAATTGTTGATCGACGGGAAGATGCAATTACTCCATTACTTAATCAAGTTTAATTGATATTTATATTATTAAAGAAAGAATAAATAAAATTCTTGTTTTTTTTCTTTCTAGTGGACATATCAAGCAATGGTTCATGAATTGATTGGCATTAAAAATAATCGTGTTAGTCTTAGTCAAGTACCTGGTATTACAAAAGAACTTGAAGAAGTTATTATGAATGCTGAATATGATGAATTTTACGCAAATGTAATAATAAAATATTTTATTAACAAAATCATTTATTCGTCTCTTGTTTTTGTTTATATAGAATCTTTTTAGTAATTTTGGTGAAATAGCAACAAATATTAAAGGATTAATGGAACATTTCCAAGAAAAACATAAAAGTCAATCAAAAATTGAATCTATTGGAGATATGAAGGTTTGAATTTAAGCTAAAAGATATTCTCAGTATAATAAATGATTTCAAGATATTTTTCATATTTTG